CTTTTAGAATAATTTGAGATTTAAAATAGCTTCTCCTAGCATCTTCCCATTCCCTTATGTAAGCCACCGTTATCATTCTCTGAAGCTTGTCGAGGGAACATACCAGCTGGAACAGCACAATTTTAAATTCATGATACATGCCCTGATTTACGTTCACAAAACTGGAAAGGGGCCGACTGACAGACTGTAATGTTTCCTGAAGAGTGCTAGAGTGCTCTCTTTAGGAAGAGGAGACTAGTAATGGTTTTCATTTTAAACACTGTTTGAAATACTGCCAAAGTAGAAAACAAATGTGACAGAAATGCCGATGCCTAGGGGCAGAGTCCCTGAGACGTGTTCAGATGATCAGCCTCGTCCTATTTTTCCTATGCAATCTCGAGAAGCAGATTGGAGAGTGTCTCTACCACCTGGTTTGGGGACTGCATCTAGACATTAATTACCAGAGCACTCTTTGTTCCTGAATCCCTCTCCTCTCCTCTGACTGAAGTGACGTAGTGACCAAGAGCAGGCCGACATTTGTGTTCCTTCCATCTTGAGACAGTACAGGGTCTGCGTCTTCAATGCCTTGAAAAACCCTCACTAGTTGGGGAGGTGTGACATCAATAGAAAAGATAACAGAAAATGAAGAAAACGCGTAAATTCCAAGTGAGCAGAGTAGACAATAAAAACAGTAAGGAGGAAGTGAACATTGTGGAATAGAAGACTTTATGGAGGACGCTAGTGCATTTGAAGAAAGACTCAGATGTAGGCAAGGTGGCTCCCAAGCGTATGAAGGGGCAGGGAAGTGGTTCCATGGTCAGGATGACAAAGCTGAGGTTTGTAACCTCAAGTGGGCGTGTTAGGGTACGAGCTTCTCAGGAGTCGAACTAGAACTGCAATGCCAGCCCTCCAGCTTTGACTGCAGTCACTTTTCCTCTGGCACTCTACCAAAAGTTCCTCTCATTTCATAATTTAGACTAATCTAGCTATGGGCAGGGGTGGGTGTGAAGAGGTCATGCAAAGGAGAATCGAAGTTCCTGTACCAAGAAATAGCCTGGGGCCAGATTGTGCAGGGTTAGAAGCTAGGAAATGAGTCATGCAAAATGAATGTCACCTCACGGGTGGGTTAAGGCATTCTTGAGCAAAGGCTCAGAGGTGAAAATAAACATCAGAGGATTTTTATTTACTTAAATGAGATTCCCACTGGGTAGCCATGGCCTAAGGCTTCTGTGTGCAGAGCTATATGGGTGAAGCATCGAGGCATAGCAGAATGAGGTTCTATATGATTACATCTCGTCTGAAATTCTTCATTATACGCAAGGGGGAGAAGAAAACTAGAGGGAGTTTTGAAGACTTAAAATCCTGTCATCTCACGGTCTGTCAGGGGCCCGTGACAGAAGATGAGATGAAGGGAGTCTATGAATGGATTTGAAGCACTGAAACAGGTATTTATCAGTTACTTAACATCTGGGCAATTGTACTCTAGAAACTCCTCTAAATATAGTTGAAAGTTGGGCTTTTTCTTTCTCTCTTTTAAGTTTATTTGTTCGATGAAAGAGAAAGAAAGAGAGACAGAGACCTCCAGCAGGGACTTGTCACACAGCGATTCTCCCTCCAACACGCCCTGATCACAGGTACACCTGTGGGTGTGCCCGGTTTGTTCAGGACGACCCGGAATCTCAATTCTAGGCTATTCCACGTAGCTCCAGCATCATACAGTGATGCCCCACCTCCTGCACCACTGTGACTGGAATTGGGGGTCCAGAATTGTTAACAATAGGTTTCTTTCTCCTACCTTTATTTTATTTTATTGTTTTGTGTTTTCACTTAAACATTCATTTTTATTTATTTCAAAATAGTGTGTTTATGAACAAAGAATAGCCAGAAAAACCAAACAAAAACAAAAACTGAAGTATACCAACCTAAAATGAAACTCCAAAATCTGGGCTACCATTAAAACCTGAAAAAATATTTCCAAATGCCATAAAGCTAATTAAAAACAAGCAAACAAATAAAATATCATTATCCCCCCCTTTTTTTTAAATAGCCATCTTTAATATTTTATTTTAGTTTTTTGGGTTTTTGCCATGGGGCATGTGTGCTTGCTAGAGAGGAAGAGAGAGGGAAAGTGGGAAATCACTGCCCAGAGGTGATGGCCACACCATAATCCCTTCTCCTCCATTCTCCTCTCAGGATTTTGGGCACACATGCACATGTGCCCAGCATGATTTTCAAACCACCGGGCCTGGGACTTGAACCGTGGTGAGCCATATGAGAATTCAGTGCCTTTACCAATATGCCATTGACTGGCTCCCTTGAATCTTGTGTTAAGGTTAAGTGTGAATCAATGAATAAATCTGGGAAATATTATTATTTTTTCCCTTGAAAAATTATATTTCTATTAATAAAACAAACATTTCTACCCATCATGTACATCTGAACAGACACGTGGACACAAAGTCAAAAATAAACTAGAGCATGTCTATTTAAAATAAGTAATTAGCTGAGACAGATAAAAACAAACCAAAAAAAGCTTCCTTTCAGAAAATTGTTGTTAATGTTCCACTCAAGGGCTATTGAACTCATTTTAATTTCATCGAGGCAAAGTATCTCATCATGCACAAGATAATTCTTAGACTGGAAGGCCTTCAGGCAGCAAAAAACAATGTCTGACAGCAAAAAATAGACAGCAGGCTCAAGCTGGGACTAGATTTATTAACCACTTTTGATAAAATATTTGGAGGAGGTTAACAACATGGTGACTTCCCCTCTGAAAAATGCCAAACTAATAGCCACAAATTTCAGAAATAGTCCCCAAGTTTAGATGAGTAAATAGAAAAATGGCTAACAAATTTGAATGTGGTCAAACGCAAGAAGTTGTTTACGGAAAAATAATTCACAGAGGTGTGCCTCTGAGCTCAAGGATGAGACCGCAAAAGGTGAATAGACAGAGTTTATTGCAGACATCGGCCTGGAAAGTTATTTGGGGTCAAGGAGATCCACAAAGACCTGGTCATCACTGGAATAAAACTTCACATCCTCCCACCTCTAGAGTGAATGGCACGAGCACTAAGCCCACCCACTCACGGAGTGTGATACTCAGTGCTGGTGTCAGCTCAGAAAAACCATGAAATTGGACAAGGCTCAGAAAAGAGCAACTAAAATTGTCAAGAGAGCAGAGGAGTTTTTTATATTAGGTTAGAAGAAAGCATTGAGACACTCTTAGAGAGGGAGATTCAAGAGGACATCTAACAAAATAGAGATGTCCTTGTTTTATTCAAATTAATGAAGCATATGTTTTCTCAGATGGCTGGGGACTAAAGAATCTCTTCTGAATGCTCTTTCCTCTTTTCTCCAGAAGTTAGGGATCACAAAGTAAGGATTCAGACAGGGGCTCATGAAAAGTACCAGATCTGAACTGCAAAGAAACCTACACTGAAAGTGTTAAAAACCACCCTGTTTGGGGAGGGGGCGGTTAGCCAGTGGCATAGTAGTTAAGGCGCTGGACTCGCACATGGTCAAATGTGGTTCAAGTCTCGAACCCAGCAGCTTAAAACTCACACTGGGTGTGTGTGCATGCATGCCCAAAATCCAGAGAGGAGAATGGAGGAGGAGGGATTGCGGCATGGTCATCCCCCTGGGGGGGGTGATTTCTCACTTTCTGTCTCTCTGGTGAGCACATGTGCCCTATAGCAAAAATCTCTCAAAAACAAAACATCCTGTTGGAGGTCTGGAATAGCAAAGACATCCACTGTGAGCTCTGTGCGGGCCCAATGTGTCAGTAACTATACACTTTCTTTTCTTTTCTTTCTTTTTGGAAGGGGGCTAGAGGGCATGTTCCCTTGCCAGAGAGAGAGAGACAGAGAAAAGGTGAAAACATTTCCCTTGGGGAATGAGCATGCCCTATAATCCCTTTTCCTCTGTCTCTCCCTCTGAATAGGATTTGGGGCATGCAAACACATATGCTTAGCATGTTTCTCAAGCTGCCAAGTCTGGGTCTTGAACCATGAAGATGACCATTTAGGATCCAGCTGCTTTAAACAACCAGGCCATGGAGCCAGACTAACAATAGCTAGTTTCTGTGTGACAAAACGTAAGCCAAAAGGCCATCAGAAAATCTTCAGTAAGTTTGCCTAATAAAAATTCTAAACCATGGAATGTTCCATAGTGCCTCCAGCTTGGATGTGAAATTTTCTCAGCCCTGTAGAATGTGAAGTAATAGTACAGACTGAGTGTCTCTTATCTGAAATGTTTGGGATAAGAAGTGTTTCAAATTTTGGATTTTTAAAAAATTTTAGAATATTTGCATATGCATAATGAAATATCTTGGGGATAGAACCCAAGTCTCAATATGAAACATATCTATGTCTTATATACACTTTATCACCTAGCCTAAGGTAGTCTATAAATATTTTTGTATTGCAGCATTTTGACTGTGACCCATTCCAAGCGGTCAAGTGTGCGATTTTGCACTTGTGACATCATGTCAACACTCAGAAAGTCCCAAATTTTGGAGCATTTCAGAGTTTAGATTTTCAGAATAGGGATGCTCAATCTGCACTAACTACTGGATTAAACAATGTCCGATCAGCCAATTAGGATAATGAAGACCAAAAGAAGAGAAGGCAGATAACATTTATTGAACACTAATTACATGCCAAGTACCGTGTAATGCTCACAACAGCCTTGCAAAATAGGCATTC